GGTGCGGTCGCTTACACCTGTAATCCCAGCACTTTGGGAGGCCGAGGTGGGTGGATCACCTGAGGTCAGGAGTTCGAAACCAGCCTGGACAACATGGTGAAACCCCATCTCTATTAAAAATAGAAAAAAATTAGCCAGGCATGGTGGTGTGCACCTGTAATCCCAGCTACTCTGGAGGCTGAGGCAGGAGAATCGTATGAATCCAGGAGACGGAGGTTGCAGTGAGCTGAGATCGCGCCATTGCACTCCAGCCTGGGCAACAGAGCAAGACTCCGTCTCAGAACAAAAAGAGCTGGGGCTGTTGTCCTCAATGGGGGACATTTGAGGACTTAGACTGTCAGAAGTCTTTCTCTTTGCTCTGGAGGTCACGTAGAGGCTGGAGCACCTATGATCTGTTGCTACGGTAAGACATCATCTCCTCATTTTCCTTTCCCTTCTAGGCCACAGTCCTATCTTCTGAGGTACGGTGGTGGTCTTAACGAGACTTGTAAATTTCCCGAAAATGATTTTGTCACAGAAGATAGGGGTTGTTTCTACCTTGTGGGTGGGGCCTGGTTAACAGGGGGATGTAGAACAGGGCTCAGCAGGCAGAGCATCCAGATGGTACTAGAAACAAACTCAAGAACTGACTAGGTCAGACCCCCAGGAGGCTTACTCTCTTTTTGGAACCCTGGCCCTGGTCCCAACTTCTCTGCATTTGGACTAGAGGTCGCAGGTGGGATCATGGCACTGGGAAGAGGTAGGTGACTTCTTAGGGCCAAGAAAGGAAAGAGCAAGGGTACAGGTGGGACCCTGGATGCACCTCTGTGTCCCAGCCCTCCCTCACTGAGTGCATAGCCTTGCCTCTGGGGTGCTCAGGTAGCTGGGCTGAATTGGGGTTCTAGGTGTGCAGTCTTGGTTTCCCTTTCGGCCTCTCTTTTGGGGCTAGGCATCATCCAAAGAGACAGCCTCCTCATTCAGGCTGATGTAGGAGCTGAGGGACTCCCGGAGACCCTCAATGAGAAGAGACTCCTCCCCTGTGGCAACTTCAGAAAACAGGAGGGAGCTGTGGACAAAGGAAGAGAATTGGGTCAAGGAGCCTATTCCTTCTCCCTGCACTCACTCCACACAAAAATGCACTGTTCTCAAAACCCCTCACTCCTGATGAGAACCTCATGGGGCTCCCTGTTCCGTATCAGATCAGCCTCCCCAGCCCCACCTGCCGAGCCTGGGCTGTGCTCCAGGAGTTGAGTCAGTGTGCGCTGGCTCCAGCTGCCAGGTGTCCCTGAGTGTGACAGGTACATTCGGGTTGTGGTTCCTGGGGTGGGTCCTTCTAACTCTTGGTCCTGCTTTCATGTTTCCAGGAGTCCCCGACTTTACCTGTCCAGCTCTTTCCAGTTGAGTGGTGTCCTCTGTACAGTCACAGGTAGGGGTGTATCCTTGCTAGGGAGCGGGCCAGTCCTCTGCAGGACACAGGGCTCCTTGAGGAGGCAGCAGATGTCATCCGCCAGCTCTGAGGAAGAGACCTCCATCCCTGATATGGCTGACTCCACCCTACTTCTCCCCAACAGCCCTCATCCTGACAGCCCTCCACACTTGGCAGGAGGGGGCATGGTTACAAAAGAGTGACAGGACATGAGCCCCAAGCTGTTGGTTTCATGGAGACAGATGGAGTCAAAAGTCTTCCTGGGCTAACTTTTGGGAGACAATCACTGTATGATTTCAGGTGAGTTCATGGACCTCTTGAGCTGAAGTTTCTGGTTAGGAAATTTCTTTGGGAAGAAGAAAGCTAAGGAATGCTCAGTCTACTTCTACTATCTACTCCCGCATGGAGTGACCTGCAGAAAACCCCTGAGTTTTCACGAGAGTGTTCTTCCCTCTCTGCGCCCTGACGCTGTGCCCAGTGACTGCATCTTCCAGTGTCTGTTGAAGGACTGGCATCAGGAAGTACTAAGGAGAGTCAGGATTGAATCCCACACAGCAGCAGCTCTGGGTCCGGTTCCTGTGGAGAGAACTCCACCTGCTGCCAGGGGCTTTGAATCAGAACCAGAGTGGTAGGCAAGGTACTGACTGGAGCCTACACCGGAGGTATGTGGCTTTTCTGCTAGGGCACGAGGTGAAGACAAGGCTCCCAGCCTGCATTTCTTGGCATGGGGACTGGTGTGAAAATAGGGGAGGCCTCTCTTCTGTCTGTCTGAATACTCCATAGCAGGTAAAATATCCGAGGACACCACTGCCTGCTCCTCCCTGCAGACTCTCCCAGCCTACTCCTGGGGGCAGGGAAAGGCCATACCAGAGTAATGGTCCACCAGGGCCTGGAGTGAGGGGAAGGTGAGGCGCGGTGAGATGTACAGCCAGCCATTGTCAAGGCGCTGGATCCTGTAGTGTCTGATTCGGTCCCAGGATGCAGGGCGGCTGAGGCGGACTGACAGGGAGTAAGAGCCTGAGGAGAAAGGGGTCCGGGGTGGCGCTGAGCCCCTGCTGGGACTCAGCCCCACCTAGGTTGGGAAACGAAGATAGGCAACATGGCCATGGGGCCCCGGCAGAAGGGAAGTGTCTTGGGCAGAAGCAGGACAAAGACTTGCTCTCTTAGTCATCAATAGCATGTTCATAATAGATGGGGGTCTTGTGAGGGTGAAATCAAATCACACACAGAGCCCTCAGTACAGGGTCTGGCACCATGTGAATGAACATTCAGTGTTGGCTGTTCTTACAAAGACTCAGGTGGCAGATGTATTAGGATGCAAAAACACTGTCAAGAAGATGCTGGCAAGGAAGTGGAGAAGTAGGATGTCCCACCCTGCTGGTGGAAGAGAAATTAGTACAAGCCACCTTGGAAATAGTTTGGCATTAACTAGATGAGCTGAACATGCACGTACCTTACAACCCAGCAGTTCTACCCAGGCACATTACCTCAGAAGCTCACAGGCAAGAATATGCACAGCAGCATTTTTTGTAAAAGTCAAAAACAGGCCAGGTGTGGTGGCTCACGCCTGTAATCCCAGCACTTAGGGAGCCTAAGTGGATCACAAGGTCAGGAGATTGAGACCATCCTGGCTAACACGGTGAAACCCTGTCTCTATGAAAAATACAAAAAATTGGCCAGGCGCGGTGGCGGGCGCCTGTAGTCCCAGCTACTCAGGAGGATGAAGCCAGAGAATGGCATGAACCCGGGAGGCGGAGCTTGCAGCAAGCCAAGATCGCACCACTGCACTCCAGCCTGGGCGACAGAGGGAGACTCCGTCTCTAAAACCTTAGAGGTAGGCTGTCAAAAACTGCAAACAACCCATTTATGCTCAAGAGTAGAACTGTGGATTATAGAGTGTAGTACTATACAGCAGTTAAAATTAATAACTGCTACATATATAGGCATAAGGAAATCTTGGAAATAAGCAGAAAAACATTACAGAGCATACATTCAGCCTGATTCTATTTAAAGTTCAAAGACAGCCAACTGACATTATCTGTTGCACAGACACACATGTCAAAGCTCTGAAGAAAAGCAACTGTATGATTAACACAGTGAAGCATGAGAGGGGGCTGCAAAAGGCTTGTTAGGTAATTTCAGCTGGCAAGTAGGCACATGGATGTCAGTTTTATTACTGCTCCTCAACCTATATGTATGCATTACATACACTGATGCATGTGACAGAGTTTTGCCAGTTTTGCATGTTTCATTTTTTCATTTTTTATTTTTGTGTGTGTGGAGACAAGAGTCTCCTGTCGCCCAGGCTGGAGTGCAGTGGCACAATCTCGGCTCACTGCAACCTCTGCCTCCCAGGTTGAAGCAATTCTCCTGCCTCAGCCTCCCGAGTAGCTGGGACTAC